ACAGGGCAAGTCTTCTGGACAGCACAGATACTCCTCTGAGTCAACATCTGGTACACAGCTGTTGCTTTGATTGCAGTTCCAACTTAACGGTGCAGCAAAGTTGTTGGCAGCTTTCCCCGAAGCCATACCCCCGAGTTTCATCTGCCCTCCAAATTATACTCCCCTGAAATCCAGGAAAACGAAGTATTCCCAGCCTAGTCCTTCGAGTCTTCAGTCCCTCTCTCCCACCCCTATTTTTTAAATGTCTCCCATTTCTTTCTTTTTGATTCATTTGCACTTTTCGTCTGTCTCACAAGACTGCAGCAAGCTGGCAATACACTCTGGAGCCGTTCTCGGGGCTATGTTTTTCCTCTTTGTTAAGTACTTGCTCAGCTGGCTGCTGTGTGTCCGCTTCTATTCAAAGGCCCAAATGGCTAAGGGATTTGGAAGTTGGTCTGCCTGTGGGCCAGTTTTGGCTGGGGATGACATGAATACTGTGCCTGCTGTGCTTGCCAAGGGGGGTCCAGAGAGGCACCCTGCCTTCATCTGCCTCCCACATACCCCACAAACGCTTGCATGAACACCAAACAACCCCAAAGCTGCTAACAGAGATTTCTTTGTAAAAGAGAACCAGTCTCGGTTTGTCGCTGCTGAATGGAGATTTCAAGACTTTTCTCCTTTATAAAACAGTAACACACCAATCACCTCCTCCTGTCTTGTTCCCTCTTCAAACAACTGTGAAGCCCTGTTTTCTTGGTGTTTCTTTGCTACTCTTTCAGATGGTCAAAGTATCTGAAATAATACTCTCTGCTTTATTTTCTTTTTCTAAAGTTACCATACCCACCCCGATGTTCTATTATATACCTACTTGTTCATCACCTGCCTTTCTAGGATATTAGCTCTTCAATAGATCCTCTGTCCCTTAAGAAGAGAGACTGTTTTTTGTTTGTTTGTTTGTTTTTTAATAATTCCTGTCATGGAATAGGTACTCAATAAATATTTGTTGAGTGAACCAATGAATGAACACATCTTCAGAGATATTTAAGAATAAGGACATTATTCCAGACTTCAAGGCACTGAGCCTGCAACATGCTATACATTTAGTAGCTTTGGGATTCTAGGAACAGAGAATCATCTGGAGACAGGGAAGCCAATCACTGGAAAACGTCAGAAATGAGGCCATCACTGAATATTCCCCAACGTGTGACTGTCTTGTCAGATCGCTTCCAGAAAGGCTTCGAGTCCAAGGCCAAGATGCACAAATTAGTACTGACTACCTCATCCATAATAATAATGGTAATCATGCCCACCATTTATTAAACATGTTCTCCGTAGGTCAGGCCAGCACATACCAGGAAGGGTTAGGGCCTGTGGGCTAGAGTCACACACAGGGTTTTGATTCCTGGCTCCACAGCTTTCCCACCTCCTGAAGCCTCAGTTTCCTCATCTGTAGAATGGGGCTAATAACAGTACATACTTCAAAGAGTCCTTGCTAGATTAAGTGAGCTGATCCCTGAAGCAAGTGCCCACGTCATGGTAGCTATTATTCCTTTGCATTTGATTTTGTGACTAGACCTACCGCTACCAAGAAAGCCCTCCTCTTCAGTTACGACAACCCATCTCTTAAGCGCCAAGGTGGAAGTTTGTGCTTAGGAAGTTGCACCAGTTGGCTTCAGAAGGCTGCTATTGCCACGTTTGTATTTTCTCGCCTGGTAGGAGTGAGGATTTCTGGGTGCAATGCCACCACTTTCTCCCATTTCCCCTGTGCTGCTCTGCACAGAGGAGAGGCTGGCAGGCAGAGAAGCAACTTAAGAGGACACTCCTGAGTCTCACCCATCCTTTGAGAGCTGACCTGTCCCTCAGGGCCTGACCCTGCTAATGTGGACGTTCAGTCTCCGGTGCCCTCTGCTTTACCTTCCTGCAGCACAAACCATAAACAAATGGCACTGCCTGTTTACAAGTCGATTTCTGTGTTCCTGTCCCAGCAAACAGCATGAGGCAAAGCCTGGAGGTAGGACCTAAAAGAAATCCATAAAGATGACCGCAGAACGAGAGTGCTTTGTGAAGAGGAGCCTAGAGAGGCTGGCAAGGGCCAGGCTTGGCAGAAGGGTTTGGGATCAACTCTAAGAACAGAATGGCGTCACTTGAAAGCAGGAAAGGTGGAATTTCACTTTCTCCTGCAAGACTGTCTGTCCCCTGATGCTCGGTCCTACTTCATTCAGTTAGATGTTCTCCCACTTAGAATAAACTGGATGGAATATTAGTTGAGCTATGCTGTGAACTAAAATACTGATCTATAATTCCTCATACGAAGGAAAGCATATTCCGTATTTCCTTTTTTGAAATGAGACTGCCAATGAAAAACAGGAGTTGCATATGTTGTGTTTCAAGTCACAGAAAAGAAGTTTAAGCTTTAAGGAAAGCCCTTTCCCATCCTGCCTTCTGTCTAACACCTTATACATTTAAAGCCCAACATCAACTAGAGGGAATTATTATTGATTGCCTTTGTAAGGTGATAAATGTGTCAGCACGTATAAATTTTTTAAAAGTAAGGGGAAAAAAATAAAAGTGCTTCATCAGCAGACTACATGCTTCTTGAGAGCAAGACCTGTCTTTCCTTGTGTGTTTCTATAACAGCTAGGAGAGAACACATTCACCTTCGGCCTTTACACACCTTCCAAAAGACTCTTTAAATGTAAAAGAAAAATCTAAAATTAAGACAAGGCTAAGAAATCTGACTTTAAGATTTTTAGGACAAAATAAAAAGGAAAAAAGCTCTTAAAAGAAGTTAAAAGAAAAGGTTGAATATGTGAGTTCACACACTTAATCGAGTAAAAGGTTTTTTGTTGGACAAAAATTAAGATAGATAAATAACTCTGGTTTTTTTCAGCCTGAGTGGAGATGAGAGAAACAAGACCGTGGGCTGAAGATCAAACAAAATGAGAACCAGGATGGCCTCTTTCCTGTTCCCCAAATGCTGTCTGTTCTTACCCTAAAGGTTATGAAAGGTTTTCTGAGACAAGCTGAACAAATGAGATCCTGTTCCTTCCTTGGGAAAACTTGTTTATACCAGACTGTTTTTAGACCTCATAAAAGTCGGTGAGCCCGGTTCTTCCCCATTAGCCCGGATTCTTCCACACTCAGCAAATATCAACAGGAAAGGGCTTCCATCATCAACAGCAGTGAAGGCAGGGCGCTCACGCAGGGCCCTAATAAGCTGGCTGCCCTGACAGAGCGGAAGACAGAGACACAATCTTCAGCTCATGTTTATAGAATAACCGGTTTGAAAGGATAGGAAAGATACCAAAATTTAGGTAAATTTATTCTGACAGTGACAACAGCATCATCTCTTAACACAACTCATACCGGTCTAAGGATTCATTTTGGAACTGTCAAAGCTTTCAAACAGAAAATTATTCTCAGTGGTTGAAACTTGGTTAAACAATTTCACTGTGCAAGGAAAAACCAAGTTACTTTTAAAAGTGCTATGCGGGAAGAAATCTCAGGCAAGAAACCAGAAAATAATGGTGTCAGCCAAATAGGAATTGCTGTCCCCATGCAGGGACTCAGGGAACTAGGTGACGGTACAGCAAGGTGCCTCGTGGGAGGCGGTGGCCTGGACCCATCCTGGAAAGTTGGCTAAGCATGTTCTAAACAGGATGAAGAATCAGAGCCAGCAACAATGTCAACCAAATCCACCTTGGACAAAATGTTGGGTAGTTTGTCCCAATACCCAAAGCTGTGGCAATCTGAGCAGCAAAATAATTATTCATAATATTGAACACCCACATAATAAAATATCTATAACTCCATACTAACATAAATATATGATTAAATGAATAACAGGGGATGGCAAAAAGATGGATCTTCCTTACAATAGAATATCTATAATCAATGTAGAAAGAATAAAAAAATAGAAAGTCACTGCTAGGAAAACATTACAGTAATAATTATTACAGGTAAGAACTAGTGACGGATCCTAAAATTAGGTAAAATTACGATAAGAAACAGGTCTAGTATCCTTACTATACAGATGTTTAGTATCTTTAGAAACAGGTCAAATCATCTTCCCATAATATGTATTAATTACAAATGGGAAAAAATAATTACAGGTGCCACCTTCACCAAGTGTTCCAATTGAACAGTCACACTGACATCTTGTGTCCCCAAGATGAGACACTGAGAAGCGCATGTTATTTCTGGGGTATTCTTGCCCAAAATATACAATCTCAATCTAACCGTAAGAAAACACCAGAGAAACCCAAAGCGAGAGACCATCTATAAAATAACTGGTCTAAATTCTTTGCAAGTGTCAAGGTCATGAAAGACAAAGATAGACTGAGACCTGTCACAAATTGAAGAAGACTGCTGAGAGGAGAGTCAGAAAAGCATAAAGTAATGTGGATCTCAGCCATTCCCATGTCTGGGAAGGTTCAGGGGACAATACTTTCTAAAACAATAACATCCCCCCTGCGCCTCTGAAGAACCCTGCATTCTTCAAGAACTTCTCTTTACTAGATTTTTCAAAACCTAAACAAAACATCAAACCATTCTGCTTGTTTGCCTAACAAAGGCAAGTCATGTCCATAAAAATATATTTTGAGTCAAATCCATTTCTTGGACCTTATAATTCTGAAAAACCTTAAAATACAAAATATATATATATATATATAAAATAGTATCTACTTGGTAAGTAAACATAATTCTTACATTATTAGTGTTCATTTCTTACCAGATATGTAAATATCTGTGGAGAGCTATGGCAAGAGAGAAAACTAATTATACTTCAAGAAAGAAGATTAAAAAAAAAAAAAAAAAAAAGCTTTATACACCAAACATGGCTTTTGGCTTCAAAACCTACACTTTTTAGCACAATTCGAAATGGTTCTGGAATGGCTGTGTACTACCAGACCTCAGCTAGCCCTCAGTGCAGAGTAAACGCTTTTGCAATCCTAGAATCGTTTTTTGATCGTTTTGAAGGCACACCCACTGCAGCACCAAGATGGGGGGTCCATACGCACCTCCCACAGCATTGCAGCGAGACGTCATCTCCCAGAGCACCAGCGCCATTGAGTAGACATCTGTCTGCTTGAAGGACTCGACATTCTCCAAATTCATCCTGGACTCAAGGACTTCTGGGGCCATGTATCTGGCAGTTCCCACCTAAAGCAAAAACAGACATCGAGGCCCATTATTTAATACCAACTGCATTTTTATTTTCAAAACGTAGCTGGTATTTATCCCCTACCTGGGTAGATAACCTTTCAAAAGTACAACGCTTTTTAAAAATAATGACAGCTGCATAGAAAGGTAGAGAGTATGTAATTATTTTTAAAAATAGGTGTTCACTTCCTGAAAAACCCTTTAAAGAATATAGACAAAGCATGCCAAAATAAGGAAATGCCAAACCCCAGAACTGCCTTGTCTAATCCATGATATATGTCACCATATTATACAATAACATCCTTGCAGATAATCTGGGAGTCAACATCTGTGAGACTTTAGACGTTTATTTTTGCTTTATGAATTAAATATCTTTTCATTCCCAAAATTCCAAGATTTATGGTGAAAATAATAATAATTGCCATTAGTTTTTGTCACTTAAGGACTGTCTTAATCTTCTTTGTTTAGCCTACGGCACATTCTAGTGTGCCAAGGAAATAGTATAGTTTCATAAAATCTCTAATAAATTAAATTGTATGAAAATAGTGAAAGATCAAATCTGGATCTTTATGTAGTTTTATCTAGACGATAACTGATAATATGAAAACATTGGGATACAAAGGAAAAAAGGAAAAAATATTTCTAGAGAAGGAATCACTTGAAATATTTCATAATGCAGCACATATAGCTTGACTAAACAACAATGAAGTCTACCTTCTCAAGTGTCTAAGGAAGGCCAAGTGAGTTGATATTATCCCAAGGAATTTTTCTTGTTGGCATGCGTTAGAAGAAATTTTTATTTTTAATAGGTCATGGCATGACTCATTATCCTGGCACATTCATCTGTCCGTGTTTCAGCACGTTTACCTCAAGACTGGCTGTGTGTAGCCACAGACCCAGAGAGCTGACTGAGCAGTAACTAAATGCTTCAGAAGCACGTCCCTGCTCCTGGTTAGAGAAAACGGTGGTGCTCTTGAGACTCCACTCGAAGCCACAGCCTCTAGCATGAAAACATGGGGCTCTGTCATTCATAAAGGATATCTTGGTATTTCTTATCACTTTCCAATATCTCCTCAGCTAAAAAGATTTCTGTTTTAATCTGTGAGATGCTTCAAAAGTGCAATCGAGTCATTCACTCAATCCATCACTAACAACAAATACTCGCTGGTCACTTTGACTGTTCAAGGTGTTGTGCTAGCTGTGACCAAATGGACATGGTTTTGGACTTCAAGGAGACTGACTTCTAGAATGGTAGGAAAATTAAAATAAAAAAATAACCAATATACCTGCCAAGAGTACAGAGTAGAATGGGCTGAGTACAACCATAAGGAGAGGAGAATGATAGAGGTAAAGTACTAACAGTGTTTGAAGCAAAGAAAAATAATTTGCAAATGGAAAAGAAATATGGATCAACTCAAGGAGAAAATGTCCTAAACTGAGGAGGATATGAAGAAATAGGATAAGAAATTCCACTCATCAGCAAAGGCACCCTGTCAAAAGAGAGTGGGACACAGACAAGTGTCCAGAGAGCAAGACCGTTTGAGACTAGAAGCAAGAGACAGGGATAAAGAGGAAGGGTCGGGTCAGGGACATGGTAAGGGGGATCCAGGCTAACTTACCTGTCCACTGTTGGCCAAGTCATCCACAGACAGTGTGGGGTCCAGACGCAGGGAAAGCCCGAAGTCACACAGGCAGCAGGTCAGGTCATTCTTCACCAGGATATTGGAGCTCTTGAGGTCCCTGTGCACGATGGGCATCTTGGGCCTCCCACACAGGGTGTGGTCGCTGTGCAAGTGAGCAATGCCCCGGGCCAGGGAGCTGCCCAGCTTGCGCAGGTCCTCCCAGCTGATGACGTGCCGCGTGAGGTACTCCTGTAGGTTGCCCTTGGCATGGAAAGCGGTGATCAGCCAATATTGCTTCCCCAACTCCGTCTTCCGCTCTTCGGCCGTCAGGAACTGGAGGATGTTCTCATGTTTCAGATTGATATCTGAGAAAATGTCCTTCTCCATCTTCCAGGAGGCATACTCCTCATAAGGGAAGATCTTGACTGCCACAGTCTCGAACTGCTCCGAAGTGTTCTGCTTCAGCTTGGCCTTGTAGACCTCGGCGAAGCGACCTTTGCCCACCAGGGTGTCCAGCTCAATGGGCAGCAGCTCCGTGTTGTGGTTGATGTTGTTGGCGCACGTGGAGCTGATGTCGGAGCGGTCGTCTTCCATAATGATGGCAAGATGCTCGCTGAACTCCATGAGCTTCCGTGGCTTGTTGGTCTCCCAGGACGGGGTCAGCTTCTGCTTCCGGTGAACACGGTAGCAGTAGAAGGTGATGATGACGGCTATGGCGATGCCCAGTGGTGGGAGGAGGCTGACGCCTGTCACTTGGAATATGACTGACAACAAGTCAGGGTTGTTGGTGGAATTTTCTGATATGGAAACAAAACAAAGGAGAGAAAGAGTTGGGTTGAGTTGGTGTGCACTGTGAGAAAGTGGGAGCACACCTCAATTGTCTTGAGGTTCTCACATCGGTATAGTTTTTGTAAATAGTATGTTGTGAATTTTTCTTCTAGGGATGGACGTTAGCATACACCTGTCCACTTTTCCCTGCGTCTGGCCATCCATTCGACGTCTCTAACTCTTTCCTCAAGCTTCAGCTTGAATGTCACGCCCTTAAAGAAATCGAGGGAAACTTGGAAAATATTTTATTTTATACACTCTCACAGCACCTTACATTTTTTCTATGTAACAATTTAGTACAATTTAAATTAAATAACTGTGACTCTAGTGTGTTGTTCCCTACTTTCTTCACCCTTAGCCAACCAACTCCATGCTGGCAGGGACCATGTCTTTCTTCTTCACTACTGTAAACGGCACCTGGCACACATCAGGTCCTCAATAAGTGTTGAATAAATGAACAAAGGATTTACTAAGTGTTGACTACACTTCAGTCAAGGTACTGCAGGAGGCTTTAGGAATATAGAAAAAAATGACAACTCTTGCCTCCAATATCTGGCGTGTGTGATCTGGTAAAAACAAAGAGATTGCCACGCACTGCCATAGTCTTTGTTCTTTTCTAAACTCCAGTTTGTCTGTTCTGATCAATATCCGGGCTACCCTTAAGCATCGGCTCTGGGCCTGTCGGTGGTGGAAAGAGGAAGCTGTGGAAAGGGTCTCTGGAAATTGGTTTCCTTATATTCCCCCAGTATTCCTCTTTTCAGTATGCATGCAATTTGTAGTTTCACAGGACAGAAATACTTAATAGCCAATCATGGAAATATTACCACAGAGGTGAGAGGAGTTAAAAAAGGAAACTTGGACCATTGAATCAGGCCCTGTGGGTTGATGGAGGAGCCCTCAGCACCAGCCATCTCGCTATAACGTCATGTATATCAAACTTCATTTCATGTGCTGGCCTTGGCTGGAGCTGGTTAAACTGGCGGTCCCCAACCTTTTTGGCACCAAGGAAGGGTGTTCCTATGAGAATCTAATGCCTGAGGATCTGAGGTGGAGCCGAGGCGGTGATGCTAGTGCTGGGGAGCGGCTGCAAATACAGATGAAGCTTCGCGTTTGCCTGCTGCTCACCTCCTGCTGTGCGGCCCCATTCCTATCAGGGCATTAACCGGTACTGGTCTACGGCCCAGGGGTTGGGGACCCCTGGTCTAGGGGATAACCATAATCTTTTGAAGGGAACCCATTACCTAAATTGTATTTGATTCCATCACTTAATGAAGCACAGTGAGAAATGAAGCTGGTACCGTGTCAAATTGAAGTTTTTAGGTTCCATATGATTCACGATCTATTTTTACAGTAAATTCTGAGTGGAAATGTTAATTTCCACTAACTATAAATTCTAGATGAAAATTTTAGATCTTATGTCAATCTGATGCCACTAAAACCTGGAAAAGTAACCTTAAAACCAATAATTCAAAAAAATCAGTATTTTGAGAAAAGATACATTAATACATTAAAATCAATAGGAAAAGGGATATAATTTGACTCTTGAAAACCTGAATTCTTACTCACACTGGGAGGCTTGACTGGAACAAAGGACAGGTGAGACCAGGGGTGGAAGTGGCACTAACAGAAAGGATTGGAACCGCAAAGAAAAGAAAGCTCTGCGGAGATGCAGGGACTGGCCCTGTTGTCTGGCAAAGCGTGAGCCTGGAGAGCAAAACTAAGGGGACAGATGAAATAATATTCGGGTGCAACAGCTGAAAACAACATTCCCTCCCTGTAACTCTCCCCCTCTTACCTGAAGTGTCCAATGCATGTGTTTGCTTCAAGTACCTACTTGTCTGTAACTATACGAGATGTCTTATAATCATAAGTTGGTTTGATTCTCTGATTGCTTTTCTCTCCCATGAGAACGTATGTTTACACAGGTAAAGGCCAGGCCTATTTTGATCATCATAGTATACCCAGAACCAAATACACACACACACACACACACACACACACACACACACACACACACACCCCTCACAATGTAATACTACTCAGCCGTAAAAAGATGAAACATCGCCATTTGTGACAACACAGATGGACCTAGAGGGTATTATGGTAAGTGAAATAAATCAGACTGAAAGGGACAAAAAAAAGTGTGATTTCGCTCCTATGTGGAATATAAAACAAATAGAAACAAAACAAAATAAAAACAAATACATAGATACAGACAACACATTAGTGGTTACTAGAGGTGAAGGGGAAGGGCAAAATGGGTAAAGGGGGTCAAATATATGGTAATGGATGGAAACTAGACTTTTGGTGGTGAGCACGCAATACAGTATGCAGATATTGAATTATAATGTTGTAGCCTGAAATTTATATAACATTATTAACCAACATTATTAATCAACGTCACCTCAATGAAAAAACAAATTTTTTAAAAAAGAAGAAGAAACTAAGGCATTCGCGCAACAGAGATCATATCTGGCCCAGAAAGGCTAAAATATTTACTACCTTCTCCTTTGCAAAATGTTTGCTGATCCCTCTTCTATAGGTATTGTTTTAATGACCTGTAAGACATTGGCAGAATTTGAAGAGACTTCATTTTGATCCATTGTGAATATTCTCTTTTACATATGAAGAAACAACACAATTTAAATATTAACTGAATACTTAGCTATGTTTCCAATTCTTTAAAGAGTGCCAAACATCCAAAAGAACTGTTCGTTTATCATTCACAAGTTTATTTTATAATTCCTGGCCGTATATGAAAAGGGTCTTCCTTGCTAAATTTTGTTCTTTTTCAGGCTAAGAGAAACACAAAAACAGAAATCCCCTGAAATTTATGTAAGCATTGATTGAAGAAGTCTCTAGAAGTATCTCCCTTCCCCCTTCATGGTCAGAAACCAAAGTTTTACTTTCCCCTCAAATTTCCTGTGTTTTCTTTTTGAAAATCTACATGTAAAAATCTGGTGGGGAGGGAATTATTGAATAACATCTATCAATCTTGAAACTTCAAAGAGGTGGTGAAAAACCCTAACAATAGCAAAGGGGGGCTGAAAGGAAGCTTTGGGATGTGGCTGTATCTAAACAGAACCACCCACACCCTCTCACAGTATTAACCCTCAGGCTGCTACTAGAAAAACCAACAGCTGTCGATGTAGGTAAAAGCTACCATCTTCTTTACTCAGAGACCTGCAGGAAGAATTTTTTTGCTGGCCCCCAATTACACAGAAACTCATAAATAGAATTCTTTGTATGAACCTGGCTGTGTCCTAAGAATTTTTTTATGATATTCATATTTAATCGACAGAACACCCCTAGGAGGCAGAAACTGCTATTATTATGAACCCCATTTTACAGATGGGGAACCTAAGGGTCAGATGGTTTAAATAATGTCCTAAGATCATAAATGTCAGCAACAGCGAAGCCGATCTTTGAAAAGAGCTCTGCTCTGTTTGATTAGTGAGACCCCCAGTCTTGACCCCAGCTCTTAACCCATGCTGTCTCGAAACTTCACATTGGTGAGAGCCAATTCATAATGATTTTATATAACCTCTCGATTTGATAAAGTGGGGTTCTTCATTGGGAGCTAGACTGAGTGATTTTACAGCCATCCATTAAGTGACATCGACAATTCCTGGATAATGTGTATAGAAGGGCATATTCTGGGTGTGCAGATTGTTCCCCTTGATCTTAGCTAAAAACCACAGCTGAGTGGTATCCTTGCAAATATGCATCTTTTCCCTACCTGGGAACAAAAATGTCTTACATAAGGAAGGACTCTAAAATATTTCTCTTTCTTTTCTCAATGCCTATCCCAGGGCCTAGAATATAGGTGGACCAAGATATAATAGTTGAATGACTGGAATCTTCCATCAGTTGTTTCTTGGATGTATAGGTAATAGTGCTCACAACGTGACATTTCACATTACATGCTCTTGTTATGCAACATTGAGCTAGATGTAGTTCTGGTGGGTATTATAAATAAGGGGAATTTCTCCAAGGTTCATAAAAAATGAAGCTCTTAGCCTGGACTCCATGTATAGAATTCAATGGCTCTGTGAATTTAAATGGGCAACATTTACATCTTTTTCTTTTCTCTAATCTTTAGCTAAAATGTAACATTTCCTAGTATTAGCCATACCTATGACTTTGTCACCAATAAAAGGCACAGTTATTTTCATGCCATATTACATTTGTTGTAGATGGCTTGGCATACCATTTATACTCATCATTTAGACATTTCAATTTTTTAGATCCGATGCTAGATTTTATTATTTAAGACATTACTATAGAAGCAGATATTACTATAGCATGAATATATTTTTAAAAATCTGTGGTCATTGCAGTTCAATGTCACTCATTTTTTTAAATCTCATGTATTATATTTTCTACATTTTATTGAAAACATCACTCTGGCTAAGGGTCTGCAGGCTTCACCAGACTTCCAAGAAGTCCATGGCACACACACAAAAAAAGCGAACAGCCCTTGGCAGAGTGAAGGCACTGCAGCTCTCCAGCTCTCTAGCTCTCCAACTCTTGTCTCTTTGCCAGGATTTCCTAGAGCAGAGATTTTGAGATTCGTCTGTTTCTTGCGGAAGTTAGTAAGGGAGGAAACTGGTGCCACTGATAAATCCTCCTGGCATGATGTGCTGTGTTCCCCATGAGTAATGGTGGATTCTGTCACAGCTTTTGTCACATGCGAAGGGAGCGCTCAGTGGAAAATGATGGGAAGCCCTTCTTTGATCTCTCTTAACAATAATTAAGATAACTACCAAATAATGTGCTTTATTAAGGTAGGTACTGAGCAATTCACTTTATAAGCATTATCTCACTTTAGAAAGAGGGAGAGGACGAGGCCGGGGGAGAGGAAGAGGAAAGTGAAAAGAAGAAAGAGAGGGAGGGAGGGAAGGAGGGAAGGAAAGGAGAGAGGGAGAGAGAGAGAGAGAGAGAGAGGAATTTGAGTTACGATGACTTC